GGAAAGATGACACCAGCTGAACTCTATTAGAAAGCAAGCTGCCCCTTGTCAGTGCAAATTAATATCAGCTGGTTCAGTCCCAAATGATGGCCAGGTATCACACAAGAACCATCTGATGATGGGTAAAAGTAAAGAGCTCTCTCAAGACCTTCACAACCTTATTGTTGCAAAACAYAATGATGGCATCGGTTACAGAAGAATGTCTAAACTTCTGAAGGTTCCAGTGAGCACTGTTGGGGCCATAATTCAGAAGTGGAAAGAACATCATTTCACCATAAACCGACCACGACCAGGTGCTCCTCACAAGATTTCTGACAGAGGAGTGAAAAGAATTATCAGAAGAGTTGTCCAAGAGCCAAGGACCACTTGTGGAGAGCTTCAGAAAGACCTGGAATTAGCAGGTATGTTTGTTTCAAAGAAAACAATAAGTAATGCACTGAACCACCATGGCCTGTATGCACGCTCACCACGCAAGACTCCACTGCTGAAGAAACAGCATGTTGAAGCTCCTTTAAAGTTTGCTGCACAACWTTWATACAAGCCTGTGTAATACTGGGAGAATATAGTCTGGTCAGATGAGACCAACATTGAACTGTTTGGATGCCAGAATACACATCATGTTTGGAGGTCAAATGGCACTGCACATCAGCCCAAAAACACCATACCAACAGTGAAGTTTGGAGGTGGGAACATCATGGTGTGGGGCTGTTTTTTAGCATATGGTACTGGCAAACTTCAAATAATTGAAGGAAGGATGAGTGGAAAAATGGACAGAGACATTATTGATAAAAAAATCTGCTTCCATCTACCAGGATGATGAAGATGAAATGTGGCTGGACATTTCAGCAAGACAATGAGCCCAAACACAAAGCCAAGGAAACTCTCAGTTGGTTTCAGAGAAACAGAAACAGAAAATCTATGGAAAGATCTAAAGATCAGAGTTCATAGAAGAGGTCCACGAAACCTTCAAGATTTGAAGACTGTTTGTGTGGAAGAATGGACCAAAATCACACCTGAGCAATGCATGCCACTAGTTTCTCCATACAGGAGGCGTCTTGAAGCTGTCATTGACAACAAAGGCTTTTGTACAAAGTATTAGATAAATTTCAGTAAGTGTGTCCAATACTTTTTCCCTGTGCCATTCCACATTATTACAAATAACTTCATTTATGGACATTTATGGTCTGATTTCTTTGTATGTGTGGATCACTTGGGTTGTTACCAACATCTGTTGAAAATTTCATGTCATTAGCACATCTAGTAATATATTTACTGAGAAAAATGGTGACGTGTTCAATACTTATTTTACCCGCTATATATGTATGCTCCTAGCCCACAAGCAAGTTAATTTCTCACTTTCTAATAGGACACACCTGACACTTTTTTGATCTTGTTATCTGAGGAAACAGAAAGGAAATAAAGCTGAAATATTAGATAGGTGCGTTAATTTTCTCCACAATTGAAATTCTTTTGTTCCTCTATTTTTGCATACAACCAAGTTTTGTGTCCTTGATTCTGTGTGCTTTTGGCTGCACCGACTGTGCTTCACTCCCACCAGTACAGGAGACGAGAAACAAAAGAAGGGAGTGGTGCCAAATTTCAAAAGGAGTAAACATGGGGAGTCGGACAGAAATATCACAAAGGATATTTTCATATTGCAGAGTTACAGCATTGTGGACTCGTRTCAAGTGACTGATGAAGAGCTGCAGAGAACAAGTAAAAAAACAGACGCATCTGTAAAAGGTGCTTATAAAAAACTGAGATGTGGATTTTATTGTCTTTCTTCAGGAAGTCATACCAACAATTGCCACTTAATATTATGGACTATGMCCTATATTATCTGTGTTCTCCAGCAAAATGCCACCAAGTGGATACTTCTTTGATCTTCCTGTGCATGAGACTAACTTTTGAGCTGTCWGCAGTTTAAAATGAATAAAAGAGAGATGGGAATGATTTCCCATGACCTTTGAGACGCACAATTTTCAAAATCTTTAAACAAAACAGTTTTTTGATTTGACCACAAAGACAATCCTTATTTAAGTCACATCCAGTCATCTGACAATGCCATAATGTGAGTTTACAAAACTGAAGCTGGCATTGTGGAATCCTAGGAAGCTGAGAGTCTTTCTAAAATCAAGTTTTGACATCGTTCTCCTGGACTGTTTTCCCCCTGAAGCTTAATTACAATAACCTGAACCCTCAACATTTCCTCTGACCCTGGTTTGTTGCATTTCCAAGTAGTATATTATGGATCARTACATTCAAAGTAGAATAAGGTTGCTGATATTTATAGCTTCTCTCCAACTCGGTGCAGAAGAAGACAGATGGTCAGATRGCAACTTACAGCACAGGAAAAGAAAACAGAGTTAAACCAATTAAGCAAATCAAACTGCAAACCAGTCATGCGTTTTCTGCACCTTATCAAGTGCCAGAAGCAACGGGTTCAGGAGGGAAACCCAGATATTTCTTTCCCCAGTGATACTCTTCCTAAGGCAGAGGTGTCAAACCCTGGTCCTCAAAGGCCGCTACCCAACATGTTTTCTTGTTTCTTGCTGAAACACACCTGGTTTGCATGAGTGGATGATTAACAGGCTTCTACAGTATTTGAAGAGGTAGGGGAATCACTGATTCAACCTGCGGGGCGTAGGCCATATCTGAGTTCTTTTTCATTGCATCCTGTTTTGGGCCCAGTTTCCTAGATCGCTCCATGTGAGCCCTAGTCTCTTCATCRTTTTCTTTACATCTCTTCTTCAGATGTTCAGCCAGGCTCTGTTTCTTTTACACGAAGGATACCAAAAAACAGCCTGCTGTATGATATCATTGGCAGGCTTTCGCGGAGTATGTCCAATCCATCTTTATTTCTTCCCATCATAACCCTTCGCGTTTAAACCTTTACCCATCCCATGCTCAGTTGTTGTTGATTACTCAGTACAGTAAAGGGTTGTTGGCGCTATACTGTATCTGCCTCCCCTGGGAGGAAGAGATGGATCACTCAGTCAAGCCCCTACCCTTCGACCTGTATTGACTGCCAGTAGCATGGAGCTCCAGTCAACATAACTCTAGGGGTTACTGGGACACACAAATCGTCCCATCACAATCCACAGGACGGATTTTTATTATCTGCATGTCAAACATCATCAGACTTGACCACTGGCAAACTGCAGGTGACTCCCATCCTGCCTGCCAAAAAAATGCAGCCCATTCCATCATTTAAGTTGCCCATCTGTGTCACACATTATTAAAATGAYGATGTTTTTTAAAATTGCTTTCAATTATATCATTGCACACTCGTTCCTTAATAAAGAATGACAATCAATATATTAATTTCTTATTATTACCTAATGGAATCTATTAGGTAATTAAATTAGATTTGCCCATAAATGTTTGGATTAAACAAGAACATCTCCCATAATGACAGGTTCCCAGACAACAGCAAAAAAGGGCTTGATCTTGCATCTTGCTATGGCACAACGTCTTAATTAAACAGAGAATGGTATTTATTCATTTGTAYCTCACCATATTGATGAGACACAAATACTTTGCTGAAAGCTCCTTTTAGCCATAACATTTACCTCTACCTCAGGCACCTTTCTTAAAAATGAAAAGGGCTCTCATGCATAAATATGAACACATCCAGGCACACACTAAACGGAAACAAACCCCACATGGACGCACACACACACACACACACACACACACACACACACACACANAAACAAACCCCACACACACACACACACACACACACACACACACACACACACACACACACAAACACACAGTACGGTCACAAAACAGAGTGAGCCCCTGCTGTTAACACCATCTTGTGTTTGACACTGGCTTTATACATATGCTAATTCACCTCCATTTCACCGCCACTGTAATGGATGGGGTGAGACCAGCAATTAGATATTGAAGAGAAAAAATGTGGTGCGAGAGACGCAAAAAAAAAAAAAAAACCTGAATCTTATCGGGCCAGCACAGAGGTGCCTTTATAATGTTTTAATTATAAAGAAAACATTTAACCTAAATGTCAGATAAATGTTAATAAATATATTCATTGTAATGAAACCAAAATGATAAAGACAACATTTTTGTTTCATTTATAGCTTGATTACAGGAAGGTTTCGGTCGAGTAAATACATCATGGCGCACACATATTACCCTGTTGGCTCGGGTGTTTGTGGACCAAGTGTGTGAGGACGACCGTGTGTCTGACGCTGCTGTAATTGGTGTGGCGYGGTGCCAGAACGAAGGATGGATGTGTGTCTGTTTCTGAGTGGACGGCAGCCATCTGCCGGGGCCACAGGCTGCTCTCGGAGCTGTGACTCTGCCCCACGTGTGTGTGTACTCGCCTTTTTGTGTTTGCTCTGGTGCTGTCTCCTGTGTGAACACACCAACACCCCACATTTAGCCTGCGCCGAATCACAYGGAAACTGTTGAAGGATTGTGATCGTGTAGACTCACGTCTGTGTTCATTTGTGTGAATGTCTGTTAGTAAACTAACTTATGCACAGAGGATGAATTTTATTAAAACCAATGGAGTTACATGTACATTTGAATAACTTTTAGAGTCAACCTGGTTCACAACTAATTAACCTCATGGCTGGAACTCAACCATCACTTCAATATACCAGACATCACAAGCATTCATTTATAGATATATTTATGGATCCTTATATGAGCAGTTGATCACAAAATACTATTTATTCTGTGGAATTTAATTTATAAATTGAAAAAAATGTCTGTTGCATATGATAAGAAAAACATGGCAAGAACAAAGTGTAAAACAATGGCTTTGAAAGGCTGTTTGAGGTCTTTATTTTTATATATTAATTGACATTTAATCGCTTCAGGTGTAGTGCGTTGCATCATCTGCCCACTGGAGGATCTTGGAGCACAAACAGTTTATTTAATTTTTTTCTCACCTGAGGAAAAGCCCACAGGTGTTGCTGCTGGCTCTGTGGAGTCTAACCTCTCTTGTTTCTTTGTGTTCATAGCTCCTGGGCTTCGTGTACGCCTGCTATGTTGTCAGTGCCATCACTGAGGAGGAGGACAGTTGTAAGTGATTTAACACACGCACGCACACACTTGCATCAAACTGAGGAATTTGTATTGACTTGCATTCATTTTTGTAACTGCATCTATGCCTAACTCAGACATTTCCCCCCTAACCATTACTAGYCTTTTCCTAACCCTAACCTTAAGCATAACTCTTTAAACCTAACTAGAGAAGCAGCAGAACTGCTAAAAAAGTGAGGACCAAGATAAAGGTCCTCACTTTGCACAAATGACATCATTTTGTTGGTTATGAATGTTGTCCTCTATATGTAGTATATACAAGTACACACACAAAGTACTGGACTGAAGCCTGGTTCACACTCAGACATGAAACATGCTTGAGTTGAGAAATAAAGAGCTGCATCTTTCTTTGGCTACCCCCCCCCCCCCCACACACACACACCACTCTCACTGCCTCAGTGTCCCCTCTTCTTTCCTCCTCCCCCCACACCAGCTGAGGCCTCACTCCTTTTCCAGGGTCCATTTGTTCCTTCCCAACACCTTCTTCATCTCGTTCTCTTATTTTTTCTTCTTCTTGTACAGTTCTTTCCTCTATTTCCATCTCACGTCCTGTGTGATCCTTACTGTTGCTGTCAGCCTGTTCTTTGCCTTCGTTTATGTTCTCTGGCTTTTGAATGTCTCACGTTTTGGTCTCCTCGTGCCCCATGTTGTGTCGCTTCAGCTGTAGGGTTGGTGTATTGTGTTTTCTTTATTCATCAGACCTGCACCTCCTGCTCCGCTCTTCATTACAAACAATTGCAAGTTTCCTGTTTTTTTTTTTTTTTTCGAGGGGTGGGGGGTCTTTGCAGACATAAAGATTCATTCTCTTCAGTACTTCCTGTTTGTTAAGAACTCCATTTGCACATTGATTTTTGATTCCTGCTAGCCCCCTAAAATGAAACAGAATGAGTAGGAGTTGACTTTTCTTGTTTTCCGTTCATGCACTAACAGGCAGAGAGTGAAGAAAAAATGTGGGGGCAAGATAAAGTCCTGTGAAGATGAGGAAATCAGAGGTGGACACTTGTGATRAATGACCGAGCCTGCTGTGACCTCGCAGACAGCAGGTCAGGGGTCATGTTTGAGGTTAGCCAATCAGAGGACAGGAAACACTTGGTCTAAAATCAGTGGTGATCGTGTGTATCATTCTGCAGCGAGCCTCCAGGTTCAATTACTGTGCAGGACGTAGTGGCTTCACACATAAAGATGAGGCGTTGGTAATTAAATAAAGACCAGASTGGCACTTTGTGCGGATTAGTTATGGTTGTAACTAACATTCACTTGCCCTGATGAATACTTGTCAGTTATTTCAGGAACACGCCAGTGACTGTGACATCGGATCTCTAGTTTTATATTAGGATTCTGTCGACTCAGAGTGTTTGGATGTRGTCAGATAAAATATCCATTATTATTCATCCACAGATCCTTATTTAAAAGAGACATATAGTGCTAAATCCTTCTTTTTTTTACATTTAAATCATTCAGTTGGGGCCTGTATAAAGTGGATCTACAATTCTTTGGTCTGAATTCCTCCTTATTGTAACTTTACCAGCCCTTCTTTCACCCCTTTTCTACGGTGTGTCTCAGATCAACTCATTTTAAGGCTGTCTCTTTGAATGCAAACGTTGCGTTTCATACCTSGCCCACCCCTCCAGTTTCCAGAGTGTTCCATTCTAGTTTCATAGAGGGGTTTACGACTATATAGCAGTGCAGAAACATTTTATTTACAAATTAATTAAAAGAAGACTTGTCCATTCAGCCTTWCATGTTTGAATCGGAGTCTGACCCGGAGCCAGAGGAGAATGAAGACGACCAAATTGTAGTTGGTAATTCCTGACCTTTTTTGACAGTTCTGTTGCAAATACTGTGATTCAACAGTTCAGAAAACGTCATTGAAAATAGAAAAAAAATGGATTAGGTTGAAAAAATGACCCAAACAGAATATAAGATATCTACGCAGCACCAGGTAAGACTAAAGGGCTCGACACACGGGAGGCGACGTCGCTCGCTCTCCATTCATTTCCTATGGAGCCTGTGCGGTGAGGCGACAATCGCTTGCCCTCCTCCAGCTAAGCGAACGGCGAAAATAATGCATGTGAAATTTCACGCTCGTACACGTAGACGTGCACACGCGAGCTTGCGACGCAACATATGAAAGTTGAAAATGTTCAACTTTTGTTGCTGTCGCTTAGCGTACAACCAATCAGTGAGGGTTTCATTGACTGACCAATGAGAGGAGAGTATGCTACACACTGCCGTTAGCTAACACTTTCACCAAGTGATTACTAAAAAGCTTTGTGGGAATTTATTGGCACCAGGGTGAAGTTTATGGTAAGTTTTTCCTCATAAAACTGTATCTTGATGTGTGTTTGTTTTTCAATATCATTAGCATCGCAATATTTTTTTAGTTTACAYGTCCGTAATGCACATCCGCCTTCAGAGTCAAGAACCAATCAAATTTTGTGAAGACAAGGGACCTGAGAGCGCGATTCGCAACGCTGCTGTCGCTATCGYRTCCCGTGTGTCGGGTTTCACCCTGGCTGCGATGACGGCCGTTAATCGCTGTAGTTTGTCGCTGCCCGTGTGTCGAGCCCTTGAAAGTCCCTATTTAAACTAAAGTGACTACGATAGTTTGGCCCAGCAGAATAAGAAGCAGTCCTTTAATCAAAGAGTCAGGAGTTCGATCCCCAGCTCCTGTAGAGTAATGAAGTGGCCTGATGATAAACACCTGTTAATCATTTTTAGATGCCCCTAGGATGCTTGTTATTAGTGAGATATGATTAAGTGCTGCATAAAATGTGTAAAATATAAAACAGAAAAGGCATGGTGTGAAGTGCGAGTGAGAAACACTGTAAAGTGCTTTGGAAAAGACAAAAAGGTGGAAATATTGAGTTCATTTTGCTGATTACTTTCAACACATACAGTACACGATCTCTAAGTTCTCTCACTCATTCATTGTCAAACTAAAGCCACGAGGAGTGCATTGCATTTATCTTGTGGCAGCCTGTTTTGCGATGTGTTTTTCTATGTGTGTTCCATAAACCAGTATTACAGAAATCCACACTGTTCCTAGAGGGTCACATACCAGAGACTTACAGGCTGTGAGTGGTCAGCACCACCACCCAGCTGCCCCACCCTTCAGCTCTGGAGACCATGTAATCACCAGTGAACTGTAAATAATCCCTGGTAGGCAACGCTGTTCCAGTCAAAGTCAAAAACAGGCTTTTTCTTGAATAGCATTTTTTTCTTTCTTTTTTATGCATGACCAGTGAGCTTTGTTGAGCCCCTGTGTGAACCGCCGGCTTGTTTGTTCCAAAAAAAAAAAAGGCAACTGCGTGTCATTCATTCTGGAATTAAAAAAAGCAACAACCCAAAGCTGAAGGTGAAAACAGAACATGGTGTGATTTTTATTGGTTTTAATTATCCTGTAGTTTCTCCTCTGATCCTGGCTGAGCCAAAGTGAAAAGCTGGCAACACTGCTTCCCAGTGCCAGCTCTTTGTTATTGTAATCAGCCCTTTGCTTGCACATGAATATTTGCTCATGCAGACACAGGTGCATACAGACACACACACACACACACACACACACACAGAGCGGGAGAACAAAAAAGACCAGCCAAGGCACTTTTCTGCTCTCATTTTCTTCTCTCATTTGATGTGCACATTAAAGCAGATCTCTGCGCTGAGCTGCCTGACTGCCTCGGCGCCTCTCCATCTTCCTCCTCTCTACACCTTCTCCCTCGCTTGCGTCACTTTCATTTCTACACTTCTGCGTCTTCACAGGGAGATGCAACGTTCTAAAGTCAAAATCCAATTCTAGCCTGGCTAAAGAAACCGGTCTTCTCTCTCTCTCTCTCTCTCTCTCTCTCTCTCTGTTGGTTTCCTCGTCTCTGGTTTCAGAGCTTTAACGAGGCGTGCCTGTAAAAAAATAAAATAAAATAAATAAAAGTTATCGGCCTCTGGTCACTTGTTATATCAGCCTCATTAACCACCTCACTGGTCAATAAATCTGACTGCACCTCACTAAGAGAGGAAAGGTGAAAAAGAAGCCTTGAGGGTGGGGTGGTGGAGAGATTGGATAGAATGAGGGGAGAAAATGAAATGAGGGGTAGACGAGGGGAGCGGAGGGAGGTGTTGGAAATGAGGCAATATTCAGGTAAAAAAATAAAAAAACAAGACAAGATGAGCATGTTGTGAAAAAGAGATAAAACAGGAATTCTTCTCACTCTGCTCACTCTCCAGGGAGAAGCCCGAGTTATATTTGAGTGCTCAGGCTTGAGTTAAAGATAACAGGATGAAACACACACACACACACACACACACACACACACACAC